CGAATACTAAGCATGTGACCAGTGGGAAAACACAAAAACACACACATACACAAACTACAATACCTGGAAAAGTATGGCACACACTGGAAGAAGGCAATAAATTCCATTTCATTAGAAATAGAGTCAGAGTGGAAAACAATCAGAATTCCTTATATGCATCTGCCACAGGTATGCTATGCTATGCACTAGCCCTAGGTACATATAGACGTCATGCTCTGCAAAGACAAACATATGCATGTATTTATTTAGAGACACTTGTCAAATTTAGGCTCAGAGCCCAGGACCCTAGCTAATTTACAAGGTTACTCTAGGAAAGACACAATTTTAGGTATGACAATAAATCTATGAATATACTACATTCCCACCCTTCAAGAGTCAAGCCAAGATTGATGATTTAAAACTTTTGCTGGTTATTATGGTTTGTTTTTGTTTTCAGCTCAGAAGGTGTGTTTCCATTGTACCCTGTCAAAAACTTTCTCAGCAGTCAAGAAAAAGGCAATACATCTGCCTTGAGCCAAGTTTGTAAATCCTACTGGGAAACGACCCCACACTGTAAGATGACATGGTTTTCAGACACATCTAAACAGACTACTTGATTTAAAGACCAACTCCAGACTTGATGTTGCTGAGCTCCTCAGCTCCATCTTGCCATCCTGATTGATCGAGGAGATGGTCTATAGTTTAAGTGGCATAGCACTTTGAGGGGTTAGTCATTAGAGCACACTGCTTTGTCCTGGGAAGGCAACTTCTTGCTTGACTAGGGTATGGAAGCTAAGGAGTGACTCCAAGATGCTGTCTGGCCAGAATTTGCAGATAACCAAAGAACTCTTCTCTTCCATCAGGCATGGATTTAGCCTCCTTTAGTTCCTGCAGTGACACAGGAGCCTCCAAATACCAAATTATTATCAGGCGGTCTTGGGGGAACCTCTGGGCCCTGCAATAAAGTAGACAGACTTGCTATTGGAAAGTGCTCAGGAGCAATTCAGCCCTGTTTAGATTTCTCTAAAATCTTGCCAACCATCTCTGGATTTTGTAAATGAATACTATCACATAGCTCCTGATAGTGCAAAGGAATTTTCAAGGGATATAATTTACTAGTATCCTCCAATTAAACAATCTTATGCATCACTAAATGATCATGTCTTGTGTGTGCTGTTTTGTTTTTAAAGCTAAGCTATGCTAGCATTGAAGCCATATCACTTCAGAGCATCATCTATAAAGTAAGGTTTATATTAATTGATCTTTAAGGTCTAACTCAGGGGATCACAAACAGGTAGTGGACTATGGACCCAATCTGACTTACACTGATGTATTCTTATTTATTCCACCTACAGTTCTAAATATTGAAAGTTCAATTTTTAAAAATGGTAATACTAGGCATGGCCTCTACTATTCCAAGTCATTTTTTCTAATCCAACCTGTCATCCATATTAACCTGCCATATCCCTTTAGATAATTGGGATGTAAGACCTTTCACTAACACATCCTATCTTAGTGCCTATCACATTGCATTGTGATTGTATGATGATCCAACTACCAGCCCTCCACAGTGAGGTTCATTGAAGTCAGGGAACAAGCCATCATCACAGAATTTGTAGTTTGTAGCATTGTAAAAGCATTAGAGGTAATCAACAAATACTCAGAAAATTAAAATTCACTATTTAGATTAGATTCTTACAATTCAGCAATATGAGAGAAGGAGATCACTACGGTAAAATAAAGCATATATTCAAAAGTTGATATTTTTGAATAGCATGCAGAATTGAAAAGATTACTAAATATAAATACACTAGTCTGTGGTCCAAGCCTCTGACGGATTCAGAGGGATGGAGGTGATGTACTAGCAAATAACGCTGTATTTCAAGCACATGAGAAAAGTTCTAAACTCTCTAATATCTTATCAGTTTTTTTCAGATATTACCTATGTAGTTTCATGGAAGAGCATTTCTTTATAGGTTATTTAGAAGCTTTTATCTAAAATATTGAGAGTTGCCTAACTGAAAACTAAACTCAAAATTTCATGGACTTCTAGCAACAAATCCTTCTGCATGTCCAGTCTCTTCATTGGTAAATTTTTAAATCTCTGGATGACTATAATTAGTATATCCAAATAAAGGATTTTTTGTTAAAAGCTTGTTTCTGCTAAAATTGTTATCTGAATTTCTTTAAATTGGCTAATATAGTGTTAAAAGCATGTCTAATAAATAAACTTCTATATAGACAAATTTGACAGAAATAATGCCAATGCAAAAGGATTGATCTTTGTTATAAGTCTTCTGTGATTTAATATTTCATCAATAGATAACCTTATCTGATCAACATCTGTCAATGTCAAAGGTATGTCATATCCCATGCAGTGAAGGAATAGTTAACACATAAAGAGCTTACAGTCTAAACAGGACTGCAGAAACACATCCTCAACAGTGCCCATACTCACACCAAACAAAAGGCAACACATACGTTGAAGATAAATGAAAAAAAAATATTGGGTGAGGCATGACATTAATGAAGGGGTGAAGGGAAAGAGAAGGGAGAATTTCTTCTTCATTCCTATTGTTTTTGGAAAAGGACCCATGGAAGATGTGTGGTTTTAAGTGCTCTTAAAATCATCAAAAAGTACAAATGGCTTGGTGCCTGGAAAGGAGAAAATTTCCTCTAGGGTAAGCCAGGGAGTGCCTAGAATACCCAGCCAACAGAGGATGGCTGGGTGAAGGGGCCAGTGAAACATGGTAAGAAATGGCTAAATAGAGACTCAGTGATCTGGAACCTGGTATAGAGGCCAGAAATTGAGGGGAGGCTGCAGGTCTCTTCATCAAACTTCTGCTCCCTTCCAAGTGCAGGTATACCATAGTGGCTGCACCACAAAACCAAGAATCCTTGAAAAATAACCTAGATGTTTACAGAAATCTCCAGGGACTCTGGATAAAGGAGATGGTGTTTGAAAACTTCCCTTTAGGTCTTCTAAGGGAAAAAAAGCTTTTCTGGTAGAGCCACAGACTCAGTAGTCATCTACCCAAAGAATTTCATCTACTTTGTATGCTTTCTGGCTCATGTGAACATTTTATTGGGCATGGTGGACCAATGGTCTCTTCTTGATTATTCAGCTTTATCTTTCCACCACTGAAAAGCAAACTGTGAGGGCATGTTAATTTCTGTCAATTACAATATAGCCCTAGGCTAATTGAAATACATCACACAGCCTGGTCCTGGCAGTGACAGGGGTATCAAGGTACTCCATTCCTAGAGAGAACAAGGGAGAAAATGGAGGATTCCTCCATCTCAGCATCTTGCTTGGCCTCCATGTTCCACTATGATGTATGCAAGGCATTTCCAGAAGTTTTGACAGAGGGTTATGTCAACAAAGAATGCTCATTCTAAACGATGTCTCTACTCATCTTGCTTATACCACAGTGATGATATTAGGATTAATAATATCTGATATTAGATAATATGTTTAAGTCCAAGGAGCTCAATATTATTACCAGTTTTAAGTGTTCTTGGTGGTACTGCTGGGTTGAATTCAGGGACTTGTGCTTGCTAAGCAGCAGGGCTACCACTTGAGCTACTCAGCCAGCCTCTGTGTTGGTTATTTTTGATATAGGGTCTTGTTTATGCCCAGTCTAGCCTGGGCATAATAAACCTCCTATTTGTACTTCCCCACATAGATGGAATGATAAATGTGTTCCTGTGCCCAGCCATTGGTTCAGATGGGTGTCTCTTGAAAGTTTTGCCTGGGCTGACTTCAAATCATGATCCTCCTGGTCTCTGACTCTCAAGTAGCTAGGATTAAAGACTTGAACCACCATGCCTGGCAAGGAGGTCAATATTCTTTTTTTTAAGGAGCTAGATATTCTTTACATACATTTTTCTATTTATCTTGCCATATTACAAATTCACCTAAAATCTTTGATGGGGCCCAGTTTCACATATTACAAGCTTGTAATACTGTTCTTTCTAACACATTGCCTGAAGTCCAATCTTAAACATTCCTTGGAATAAATATGGATAAATAGAAAGAAACTACTGGTGTTTCCAAGTATACAAACAGATCTGATATTTATTGCTAATTGCTCTCATCCCATGAGTTTTTGGCAGAAAGTCTCCAAAACCTAACTTTGCAACAATCCCACCTTACCTTTGTGGCAGGGCAAGGAAGTTACATTTAAGAGAGGATACAAACATGTAAATAGAAAATACCCACTCATCAGTGCTAGGTAACCCCTGGGATCTGGGCTGCTTGATTCCCTCTACCTCATGGCCACTTATTCATACGTAAGGGAAGTCCTGAAGTTCCAAGTGCTGTAACCTGTCTGTTCACTGTGGTTTTATTTTTGGTTGTCCTTAAAGTTGCCAAAGATAGGATAAGAGGATCTGAGAAGAATCCCAAGCTTACCAAAAGAGGCTGATGGGTTAATTTGGTTCTGAAAAATCAAAGTTGGCCTACTTCATATGCACATCATCTGTGGCAATGTCTCTTTGCTGCTGTGGCATCAGGACAAGGCCTCATGCTGGGAACTAGGATTGAACAAAGAATACAGAACTACCCAAATCAATACCACCTGTGTGCAACATGGTGCCTTCCTGAACCTAGAGTAATTTTAATTACTTTCAATAAACCAGATTAAAATTACACCATTTGCCTGTCATCTATAATTGATTATGTGCATTCTAATGATACTTCTGGTTTCTGTCTCTATCTTTCTCAAGATAAGCACGCCTTGATCTCAACTTCATATTGATAAATTATTCTGGAAAGTGGATCCCAAGAGAAGTCAGTATCTGACCACAATTCCCATCCCAGCAGGAGATACACCCTGCGAATTCCATAAGCAACAAATTAAAGGATCTGGTCCATAGGCCAAAGGCTGCAAGAATCCTGAGACGTTTCACTGACCCCACCACCCCCAGCCTCAGTCGGCCTTGTCAGGGGTTCTGATCAACATGCTCAGTGACACAGCTATGCAGGAAACGGGCCAATCAGCATAAACAACTGTACTTACATGTATCTGGCTTGAGCTGACTGTTGGTGATGCCAAAATACTGGGGATTTTCAATGACAGGGATCTTGGTCATTCCAATGATGACGGCATCAGGGCCGCCTTCAGAAGAGGATGGAGTGTTACTCCCATTGGAGATGTGGTGGAGCGGGCTGGCAGAATCATCATCATTGCTGATAACTGAAGCTGGACCTAGAGTTAGAAAAATATATATTCTGTAATTCAAGGGCTACTATTTAGCTATACCAATATTCATCACGTTCATCCATTTCAAGTGTATAATTCAGTGGGTTTTGGTACCTACACAGAGTTGTGCTATTATCTCTACAATCTAATTGTAGGACATTTTCATCACCCCAACAACTAGCGCTTATCTCCCATTTTCCCCACTCCTTGTCCTAAGCATCCATGAATTTGTTTTCCATCTCTGTGAATTTACCTGTTCTGGAATTTCAAACAAATGCAATCACATTATCTGTGACATTTTGTAATGGGCTTGGTTCACTTAGCATAATATTTTAAGCTTCATTCACATGATAGTATGTATCATACTTCCTTTTCATTGCTGAATAATACTTCATTGTGTGGATATGCTGTGTTTAACTTATTCACCTATCCAACCATTGAAGGACAGTTAGGTTATTTGGACTATTTGGCCACTAATAATAATACTTCCATGAGCACTCGTGTACACACTTTTGTGTGGACATTTTATTTTCTCTTGGGTGGAATTGGTGGGACATATGTATGGTATGTCTATCATTTTGAGGGACCACCAAACAGTCTTCCAAAGTGGCTGTACCATTTTATATTCCCAACAGCAATGTACAAAGGTTCTAATTTCTTCACTTCCGTACCCTGTAAATTGGTAAGCAGCTTTTCTCTTTGATCTATGCACACTTTCAGAATACTCTGTAACTGAATTTCCAGCATGAATCCAGGATGCCTGTTTCACAGGGCACTGAAAGTTATGCTGGGAGTTTGAAGGTCTAAGTTTCCCGTCTCCACTCTTCTAAGAAGTGACTTACCTTCTTTGTACTTCTACATCTGCATACAATTATAAAATGTGCACTATTTTATCTTCTTATTATTAGAGAAAAGAAAATGTACTGCAAACTTAAATGTACTTCATGAATATAAATTACTGCTAGGTATTCTTTTTTTATAGTTCTATTATTTTTATTTTTTTCTTTATTCAGATATTCATATGTGCATACATTGTTTGGGTCATTTCTGCCCCCTTTCCCCCACCTCCCCACCCCACTCTCTTCCAGGCAGAATCTGTTCTGCCCTTTTCTCCAATTTTGGTGAAAAGAAAACATAAGCTTCTTAAATGAACTTTAACTGGAGAGTGAGAATTGCATTGGGCTACCCTATTAGTGTGTTTCTTCTTCTCCATGGTGGTAAGTACCTGAAACACTATCCACAAAATATTTTCGTAACAATAATAGGTAAATCCCATGCAAAATTATCTATTTTGCCTTTAGCTATAATATTATTTATAGAGCCACTTATTAGATACCTTTATATTAAAACAATAATCATAGCATTTTTCATAAAAAACTTAAATTATTTAGTCCAAATCTTCAGAATGTATATGCCCATATATACATTTTACCATATCTTGTCTAAACAAATCTTCCATTGACCACTCAACTCATCATGCTCAAAAATAAAAATAGATACTATTTGCAACCAAGAATAGATTCACAAAGATAAAAGTCTATGTGGAAGTTTCAAAATAATTAGGATCACTCATGCAATGCATTCGTTGAAAGTAGACAAAGCCTCTTAGGCATATATTACTAGCATGTCTAAAGTATACTGAATGAGCAGTGTCCCATGGAAGCAGATGACTGACCATGACTACTGACATAAATCAAGAGAAAGGAGAGGAGGAAAAGGATAAGAAGGAAAGACTAAGGGGAAGAAAAAAGACAGAATCAAATGCCTGGCCAAATGCCTTAATAGTGAAGAGAAAGTCTGAATTGCTACTTCCTGTGCAAGGGAAACCTGCCCCCAGCATGCATGTTTCAGCACCTCTACCTATTCTCTACCTTTTCCCTCACTTTTTCACTACTTTAGTAAAAGGCATAGCAATTATAAAAGACAAGGATTATTTTGTCAGGAACGCTGATAAAGTTTTGAATCCCCTATGCAACATGATGATTAATCCATTCCCCAACCCCCAAGATCCATTTTTCCTCCTTATATGGGGATTATTGCAATTTGCAGTGATAACAATTGGACATTCCCCAGCTAGCTGTGTCTTAACCAAACTATGCTGGAGGAAACCAACTGCTATCATAGGTAATTTTTAAAGCATTCTCCCAATAGGATATGCATTTAAGTTGCCTTTAATGATATACTCTGGCTTAATTCTCAAACAAGTCCTCACACAGCCAATTTAGAAGCCAAAGAACATGCAAAGCCAAGGCAAGCCCACCAGTTGTGTGCATCTTGTGTCTTGCTCACCTGTGTTAGCAAAGAGTGGAAATCCTGCCAAGAATAACTATAAAAACAAGTTCTTTCTAATATCCCCAACCATCCCTGTTTTATGATCTGCTTCCTGACAGGCCTAGCTCTCCCAGATTCTAACCAGTGATGGAAAATGGAGATGTATTATGGTAAGGTTTCTGTATATTGTCAATAAAACCTTCCTACCACTGGTTCCCTTTTTTGGTTCCCAGAGCAGCTGTTCCCTTCTGAGAGGTTACCAAAGCATGCTACTGCCTGAGTTCCCAGATGGGGTACAATCTAAGCTGCACATTTCTCAACAGATTCCAGGCTCCACCTTTACCCTCAGAAATGCAGGAGTTGTCATTTTCTAATTCTCCACACACTGTGAGAAGGCCAGCAATATTTCCTTCTGGAAGTGCAATGATAAGAAATGCATTGACTCCAGTGGGTTTATCCTCTAATTGTCCTCTAGTCAGGATAGCAGCCTCACAGCTTCATTCAGTCATTTTTGAGGAAGATGATACTTAGAAGACAATCTTCAGATTCTCCCAGGAATTCAGGCTCTGAATCTCCTGCCAACTATACAGTGGAGTCCTCCCTTGCTTTAGTTCAATGAAGGGACTTGTGTTCTGCTCTTCCTTCTCTCGTGATCTCTCCAATTACGGCCCCTGACTCTTATGTAACAGATTGCAAGAGAATTGCTTTCTGGGGGTTGGGGTTGGGGGGTGGGGGGTGAGAGTTAAGTACGGAAGTGGTGTAAAGCACCAAAGGTAATTTTTCCAAGTCTTTTCACTTTTCAGAAAGCCACTGTTGACAAATCACAGCAACACAAACCTCAACAACTCATCAAATAGAATATTAATTCAAGTGCTGTTTCCTTCATCATTGATGTTCCAAAGCTCAGAAGATTGATCTAGCTGGCAAGACTGTGGGAATGAAGCCCATTTTTCTATGAACATTTTGATATAATGGAATGCAGAGCACAGCAGAGTTGGGAGGGGGAAAGTTCTCCACGGGGACAATGAATGTGTGTGTGATTTGACAGCAGCCTGTCTGTGCATTTCACAGGAAGTGTCTTTGTGTGTCTGTGCATGTGTTTAAGCAGACACTGCCAAAAGACAGAAGTGTTGGTGGCACATTGCAGCTCATTACAAGGAATTCATGTGAGGACTTAAGAAAAATGGATTATAATATTAATATAAAGTTTTAAATTGCTAGGTATGTGCACAGTTGCTGAGCTTGGGTTGGATAGTTCAAATTACTGAGCTGACAAATATGAATTATATCTGGAAACATTTTTATCCCATTTTTATTTTAATGTAAAATACAAAGAGGCCTTTTTTTCTTTTATCAGAGCTGCTTGATTAGTATATTCTACAGATATGACTTTCCAGACATTTCTAAACTTACTTAGACTTGTTTTCCAGTGATAAGAATGGAGGAAGGTTATCTGGGGAAAGAGTTTCCTTCTCTCAATGCCAACAACACCTTCAAGGTGAAGGGAGAGATTATTACTCACAGCAACTGCACTCGCCACGCCTTTCTATTTTCTGTATTCTGAAGATCTAACACCCAGTGCCTGTTAACCTGGAGAAACAGCCTCCTATAGGGCTGGCCAGTTGCAAGAGATAGCAAATACCCTTTCTGCAAGTGCACCTTTCATATGCAAACCAACCAGCACAGACTATACTTCCAACCACCTTCATTATCTGTCCTACACCATCTACCTGCCCTAACCACCACAGGGCCAGATGCCAGAAAACTCAGCAGCCCTCTGGCTAGACCCTGCTGATATTACTCAAACTAGCCCATCTGTCTACTTTGCCTCACCCATTCCTTCCCATGGAAACCACAATAAAGACCATTGCCTGTGTTTTTTCCTTGCTCTCTCTTCTTCCTGACCAACCTCAGGGCTTCCCTGTGCCTCTGTGGCACGGGTGTGTCCACTTTGGGGAACTATGAGTCACAAATAGTGTTTTTAATGACCATCATCTCCTAAATGGTGGCTTCATCATACCAGAAATTTTAAAAAATCCCCTTCTGGGCTGGATCTGGAGCATTGTGAAGAATGATCTCTGCTGTGGCCTAAAAGGGTAAAAATCATCATATTATTGAAGCTTTCTGGGGACAGGCACCCTTCTGCAGGACAGAATAGCTTGAAACATATTCAAGTGGTTATAGTGATTTAATCACTGTACAGGGAAGACCCCATCATTGTAGGAGAGCTCTCTCTCTCTCTTTCTCTCTCTCTTTCTCTCTGTCTCTCTCTCTCTCTCTCTCTCTCTCTCTCTCTCTCTCACACACACACACACACACACACACACACACACACACACACCACTACCACCACAATGAAGCCCTAAGGCAGGGTGCCTTTAATGACTTCTTAGCAAAGCAACTGTGATGGCCAGTGTCTGAAATTTGCCCCAGGGGAGCTGAAGTCCTGAGCTAGTTGAGCTTGATGTTCCCATTTTTCTTTTCCCTACTGAGAACTTTTGCCTTGAAATCCATGGCACTAGTAAAGGACAGGATAACTTTTTTGCCTGCAAACCCCCATCTGGTTAGTCTACATCAGCCTGGACTCAGCCCACTGGTCATGTGTAGGTCACTAGAGAGACACTGACAGAGGCTATTTAACAGAACAAGGTTTGGAGTCAGTTTCAAAAGGAAAAGGAAACAGATTTTCTTATACGCATAGGATGAACAAGTATAGGACAGAGGGCTCAGAACTGTGTGGCTCCCGACACTCATATACTTCCCTGACTTTGAAATTTTACCTGTAGCCAACCTTGCTACCAAAAGAAATACCAACTAATGGAATTGTACCCATGATGGTCAGATCTTGGAACTCTTGTGAATGATGGAAGAGAGCCTGTCTTTTCATGCCTTCCACGCAATTTCTGTTCATTGTCTCTGTAACCATAGAAAATACTGAACAAATTGGAGGTCCCAAGAGATCACACCTGATTTCAAGCCTAATGAAATCCTCTGCATTCACTCAGGAAGCTACACACTCTGCTTTTCAATTGTCAGCACATGGTCTGAAAGCAAGGAATAGGACGCAATCAAGCACAAATCACAGTGTCTGGACGTTAAAGTCTGTTTTGCAAGAGAAGTGGTCATAAATGAACAGCTGATTACCAATTCAGACCTCTATTAAATCTTGATTTAAGAACCTATCACTACCTAGAACTGGAACAGCAATTGACACTTCCCCACAGGATAAAAACAAGTCAACTTCAAAAATTCAAAACCACTTACTGGACACAATTAGCAAAAGTAATGTCTTTTCTGGAAAAATTCTCTACCTCCTTCTTCAACAAATCAGAAGCCAGGAGCACAGAAAATGAGTCAAGGACCAACGGATATAAATAGCATCTAAGCAATTTCATCTGAATTAAGCAACATAAACTCTTTACTTATCCAAAGAAGGAGTAACTACTTACCAACACCTTGTCTTGATTTTACTTTCCCAAATCCAAACCATGAGAAATCTGAAAACCACAACAAAACATAAAGTAAACTTCGAAAGAGAAGTGTAAACCAGAGACAGCACTGTCCTTAGTCGAATAACTCAATGATCCCCCAACCCAAAATTAAAAAAGAAAAAAAAAAGACTTCCTCTCAGACATCTGGAATCTAGCCCTTGGATTTTTGTGCAAAGGTTTATTTGTCATCCTCAGAACATGGAAGTTCAAATCAGATAAGAGACAGAAAACTGTCTTCAAGAAAAATGGCCAAAACCCAGGATTAAGAGCTCTGAGCTGTTTTCCCCTTTTCTCAGTTTCTTCCTAACCCCTAAGTGGAGAGATCATTGCCTAGTATTGAATTGTCTAACAGGGAAGCTGTAGGGGTGAAAACACACAATGCTTTTGACAAATGCACTATGGTTCTGAACTGCAGCAATGTGGGAAAATAATGAAAGAAAACAGACCTTTTCTGAAGCTGAAACAAGCAGTAAAAAAAGGAACATGAAATCCCGTGGGAGAGCAGACACATGGGCTGGAATGAGGGAAGGGTTCCTAATTCTGCATGGAATCCCGTGCCTGATTGCTGTGCAGTGGTGGGCAGCATGCATCAGCTCTGCGCTTCTTACAAAACAAGACTCCAATCGGCACATGTAAGAAAAGACCCCAGATGTTTGGAGGGTCTCCAGGGAATAAAGCCACCATGAAACAGCTATTTCTTAGCCTGTCTGTTCCCTTGTAGGTAATTTCTACTGGGTTCAAAGTGAATTCTGCACAGCAAAGAAATTCCTGGACATGAGGCTGATAAAGGGAATAAAGCACCAATAAGCTACTGTGTTTCTCTTCTCTTCAGCACGGTAGTGGTCTTCATAGGCAGTTGGGATAGTAAGCTAGAGAAAAGAACCAATAAAGTGAAGTGATGTGCATAAAGACTCCTTGCACACTCAAAAACACCTTACAACATTGACAATTTTTTTTTCACATTTAGGCTTTGCTTTCCTGATGTCCCACAGTTTCTGGCCCCCTACCTCAAAGCTTATTTTTGCCTTGGTTGATATTCCTTTGAATGTTGCCTTTCAGGTTTTAGAAGCCCAGATGAAAGCCTGGTCTTGATCCAAAGCCAAATAAAGTTTTCTTTGCGCAGAAGACAGAGAGCTTGGTTCACTGGAGTTATGAGTCTAGCGAGGCAGGGTCATGCATATGGGTTTGTTAGCTTCAACTAACTCCATTCAAAATGGGTGTATTTTCCCACTGGCCACTATTTGGTTATATATATATATATATATATTTTTTTTTTTTTCTCTTTTGGCCATACTGAGCTTTGAACTTAGGATTTGGTGTTTTCTAGGCAGGCACTCCACCACTTGAGTCATGACCCTATCCTTTTTGCTATAGTTATATTTTAAATAGGTTCTCATGGTTTTCCTGGGCCCATGAGGAATATGATCCTTCTAATTACACCTCTTACATAGCTGGGATGACAGATGCCCTGAGTTCAAACCCCAGTACTGCCCCAAAACCCCAAAATCATTCCTGTAGGATAAATTCTAGAAGTGGAATTATTTTTCCAGGGGAAGAATTTTATTAAAATGGCTTTTGCATTATATCAGGAGTCACTTTTACCAACAGCGCATGAATGAGTAGAAGTATATTTTTGAACTCTACCGAATGGGCAAGCTAAGGATGAAGCATTTTCTCCTTCCACCTGCCACTGGCATGGATCCAGCTAACTGAACAGAGGCCTGGCAAGCATTCTCCTTCCATCTGTGCCCCTGAAACCTTTCACACCCAATTCTCCCAGACTGCTGTTTTCCTTGGGTGCAACAAATAGCACTTAAGATTTAAAAACACATAAGGACTTCGCTCACTTGTATAGTCATTATGACACACCCAGTGCCTCCATTCATCAGAGAGGCAAAGGTCACAGCTTGTAGTGACTGAGTAGGGACTCAGTTGGATGCCAGAATCAGGGCCTCCTCTGTCTTTATTAATGGCTTCTCCAATGCTCCAAGGTAACTAAAATTAACCAAAAATTGCAACATTATAATTAAGGTTCAATTTTACATATAGAAAAATATCACTGGTAGTTATTTGTTCTCAGAGCAGAGGATTGGAAGAAAGATGAGTCTTAGTCCTGTCCTCAAGGGGCTTTCAGTACCACTGATGTACTTCCTAGCATTACGTACAGGACGTGTGAGAGTTTAGAAGAGGAGCGTCTACGTGAGCCTAGAGGAGTGAGGAGGAACTCAGGAGAGTCTTCTGAGTTCTACAGAACAAGTTGGAATTAACCAAGAACAGGAAAGAGCACAGACGTTCCCAATTTACAAGAGTTTGATTTAGAAGCTTCTGACTTTACTGTGGTATAGAGTAATTTACATTCAGTAAAAACTATACTTCAGAGTTTGAATTCGGATCTGTTTCTAGGCTAATGACATGCTGCATGATTCTCACTAGAGATGCTGGGTCACACTCCCAGTTAGCCTGGTGACCACAGGACAGGTCAACCAACTCTCTATGGTACACTGGGCCTCCAGCAGTTTTTAGATACTGTGTTTTGGATTTTCATATCCCATCATGTCTTCAATACTTTATTACAAAGCAAGCTTTGTGTTAGAGAATTTTGTCCAACTGTAGGCTAATGTGAGTATTTCAAACATGTTTGATGTAGGCTGACGTAAGTTATGATGTTCTGTAGGGAAGGTGTATTAGTTACAGTTTAACTTATGATATATTCAGTTTACAATGGATTGTAAGTTGAAGAATGTCTGTACTCAATATGAGTCCAGTTACAGCTAAAGCAAACATGGTGAGTGTGTCAAGGGGCTTATGCAGCTAGAAAGAGCAAAAAATCAGAGAAACATAAGCAAGGGCTCAGGAAACAGTGTGAATTTTATGGTGAAAATTGTGATTAGACTCAAGACAAAACAAACAAAAGACTCAACAATCTCAAGCCAGGAAGCAACATGATCAAAATAAATTTTAGAAAAAATTTATTTGGCTGCAGGGTAAAATCAGGATTAAGGCAGAGAAAAACTAAGGGCAATAGATTTGTTATGAGGTTTTAAGAGAAATCAAGCCATGACAGAATGGAGGCCTGAGTTTGTTACTGAGGAGTGGGACAGGAAAGAGAAGAGAAGGTGGTGACTGGCAACTGGCAGGTATATTTAGGGGAATCCACAGAATTTGATTATGAACTGAAAGCTGTGGAAAATGTGGGAAGGGAACCATGAATATTTCAGATTAGGACAGTAAAATAGATGGTGGTGCTGCTGAAAGAGTTCCTTAGAAATTTAGAAAGCAAACAAATTTAGAAGCCAAAAAGTAAACATCGATTTAAGACATAAGTCCCAAGTAAGGTGTGCATGTGGGAAAAATGAGAAAAACTTACTATAGTTTGTATCCTAAATGTTCTCCAAAGGCCTGTGTGTTAAAGACTTGGTCCCCAGAGTGGTGGAACCTTTAAAAGGTGAGCCTAGTAGAAGGTCTTTAGGTTACTGGAGCATGTCCTATATGGGGTTGTGGAACTCTGGCCTTTTCCTTATTCTCTTTGTTTCCTAGCCAAGAGATGAGCAGCTCATTTAGCCACATATCTCTGCCATGATGAGCTGCTGTACCATAGGCCAAAAGCAATGGAGTCTATCGACCATGGACTGGAATCTTCAAAAGTATGAGACCAAAATAAACCTTTTCTGTTTATAGCTTGATTTTCTCTGGGCTTGTTTATAGTGACAAAAAGCTTACTGCTAAAGGAAAACATTAAGTTAGCAAGATGCTCTGGCACTCAGACAGAGTTTAATACCCAGCATGCATTTTCCTGAGTTCTGGAGCCATGAATGAATTGTAGGATGAAGGTGAGGTCTACCTAGTGTTCATTTCTTATTTGGGCATGTACAACACCCATTTTTTACAAAAACAAATGAAGGGCACCCAACTGAAGCCAGATTTTGAGAAAATTACTTTTAAGTTACTGACGTAGTTCTAAGTTCTCTTTTGAAGGAGCACAAGCATTATGTAGAAGAGAATGCTATTCTCTGCATCATACCTTAGAGTATTTGTAAAATCGAACAGATATGGAAAGATCAAATTGGTACCTCTGCCCCCGGAAGCTCTTTCTTGACGCATAGAACCTTAACACTAAGTTTCATCAGCAAAATATTCCCATCATGCCAAAAACAAAATTTCTCAATTTCCTGTGATGTTTTACCCATTGGGAGTAAAGTTCTGCCAAACTATTTTTTATTTTCTGTTTAATAGGAGACACTTCATTCACAGCAAAATAAAGGGCTCCTTCAAAAGCAAATGTGGCTGCAGTGACCTTAAAAAAATCTCCTTCTTTTTGGAATCTAGAACAACAAAGATTCTAAGTTATGATATTAACCAATTAAATTCATCTCATTTTGAGGGGAAAAAAAAAGCTCAATCTTTTCACTCACCAGAGAGGAGGAATGTAAGGAAAAAAGAATAGCACATTAACACATTAACAACTCTAAGATAGATTTGGAGCAAAATAAAATAAATAGTAAAAGAAAGACTACTTTTCAAATGTCTCTCAAAAGGAAACAGTTACAATTTAGGGAGCTGAAAGGGAATATTTATGATGCAAGTGAGAGAATCAGAGGAAGGAACCAGAAACTGGCAAAATGGATGAAACCTGACCTTCCCTGCAGGTCCCGAGTCACACAAACACTAAACATGATATTTAGAAAGGTTTAGATCTCAAGAGAATGTAGTTTCCGGATTTATTTTTAAGTTTCAGAAAAATCATTTTAATATGTGAAGAGAAAAACTCATTTTAACTCTACAAAAAATAAAACTGTATTCTCAAATGTCATTTCTTTATATTTTAAGGTAACAATCACCACTCTACACCCCTAAGAAAAGCATTTCTAACATTGTGATGGAAGCCAATGGGGAAATAGGACTCACTAGCAAAAATGTACCTCACCTCCAATTTCCTTTGGCCACACCTACTCCCCAAAGAACACTTGAAACCAGGCTGTTTTGCTGCAAGCACAGTGTGGACTAGT